CCCAAGCACGAGCCAAGTAGGCCGGCTCGTTAGATGAGCGGCTTAGCGAGAGGCTCGTTTTGATGAGCCCACAAGTCTGGCTCGTGGATTCGTCTTTTATTGTAAGTCACGAGCTGCTCGGCTCGTGGCTCATATAAAAAAAATAAAATAAATGAAAAGGTGACCAGAACGGTCACTAAATTTTTAGTGACCTTTCGGTCCATTTAATTTTTTTCTTCATTTTTCTAATTTTCTTCACCTATAAATACCTACAAATTACAACATTTTTTCCCACAAACTTACTATCGATATCAATCTCTCATTCTTTACTCTACTCTCTACAATTACAAAACATTATCAATAATATATTCATTCATTCTATAATCCTCTTCTACATTTTGTTACATCATTATTATCATGATTTTACAATTCATTTTATATAGTACTATATAATTTCATTATTTCTCAATTCTACATTTCTACATTCCACTTCAAGTCTTCAACATTNAGAGAGAAGATGTGGTAAATGATTTGATATTTTTGGGGTTCGAGTAATTATAATTTTCATAGAAATAAATTAATATCTGATTTTTATATAAATAAAATTTATATCTAAATTTTGAAATTAAATCTTTAAAGTTTTGATTTTGTGTAATTTCCACTTCTTTGTTTTGTTTGAAGAAAACCAAAAAGCCCATTAGAGCAAACTAATTTCAAATCAAACTAATTTCAAATCGCCATTAGAAATTATGTATAAACATTTAGTAAATACAATATTAAATACAAATTGGAAGTATAGTTATTTAAAATCAAGTCCATTACACACAAGTCGTAGCGAAATCAAGATCTAGTTCAAGTGGTAAAATCAAAGCCTTACTAGTTCAGTGATTAAATTCGAGTCTAATTTTGAGGAATGGTTATTGTTATTATTTTTTTAAATGTTAGTAATTGTGTGCAACACAAGTAGTACTCTTAACTATGGTGGAGGCTTGAGGTGTTTACACAAATCCGTTTTATACAATTTTGTTGTTTCTCTAACAAATTCAAATCGTACATCACATTTTAATTTTTCCTCTCCGAAATTTTCCAAGAAATATTATGGGAAGAATTATATGGTGGACAGACTTCACATGCTTTTAACTACCAAACAACAACGGAGATTTCAAAAAAGAAAGCAACCCATTTCTATTCGATTGTTCAACGAGATGTGCAAAATTGCTTACACATAATTAATTTGTCAATAATGGCTACAACTTAGAAACTTATATCAACATGTTTTATTACAATAGTATGGTAATTTTTCTTTGAGGTTCAAAGAAAAACAATTATATTAGAGTACCAATGTTCATGAATCTCTTCTAGCTTAATTTATAATGAACAAAATCATAACTTTTCCATTCAGTTCTTTTTTATTCTTTTGTCATATCGATCGAGCTAGGA